TGAAAGGTGATTAAGGAATTCACATTCGTACCACCAACCAAATGATGAAAGCAACCCACCATTCATTCCACTAACCAGAAGACGAGTGGTACAACTTGTACATGTGAACTCCTAGCATTCACAAATAATCAAAAACCCTCAAGCTTTACAACTCAACTAGGGGAGCACTTATGCCTAACAAGAGCTATAGTCACCAACAAAGTCTTATTGCAAGCCAACAATGGCTTCAGTGCATGGTATACGAAGATCAAGCTCTTCAGCCCTCTTGCATCTGCTTCAGACATTTCTCTTCTGTAACAATGCAAACACTACAACTCATAGAAAGCTTCACACGCACTTGATCAAGATTGTTCGAAGCAAATTCAATTTATATGGTTCATCCAAACCTTCGACTACTACAAGATGTGGCTTGCATCACAATCTCTTGCTCAACAGTGTGGAAGCAAAATTTTTATACGTTGTCTCTCCCACATTTTCAAATTTCTAGTTTTCTCAAAAAAAAAAAAAAAAAAAAAAAGAGGAAAGGAATAGCATTACTACTTGTTATTGGGAAATCCCTATATACATCGACCTCCCTCCTCAACGGACAAGCAAACCTGCAAAAATGCTCAACCCTTTCTCGCATTCGAGAATGCACCCTCAACATAACCTCTCGAAATACTCAACTTTATTTCCCCCCGATAATACCTCAGCAAATAAGCCACACCAAGAACAAGAGTATCTCATATCATCAGGGTCGAAAGCAAGAGTATCCCATATCATGCTTTCTCCCTGTCCTTGTCTTCGTCCTTGTCCACACCTGCAGGACAAAGAGAAAGAGAGCAGTCAGTCGGAACCTGAAATCAAACCTCCAATCTGGAACTGACTGCCTGAGACCTTTGCCTGGTTGCTTACTTAGCATTGCTCTCGAGAACTCATCCTCAACTGCTGTCAAGGTCTTGAATTCCACCGGCACTTACCTCATGACAATTGATCAGATATTGGCTCTTTACACTGAAGCTGCCAAGCGTGGATGAGTCACTATTCTGAAGGACCATTTAAATGCAAAGGTTGCACACCACTTCTGCCATGCAAAATATTGAAGCAGAAGGTTCAACGGTGAGCTGAAACAGATCACTACAACACGACACATTTCCATACCACATTCACTACTCCGTCAACAGCAAAAGTATCCCATATCATCAAGGTCGAACGTACTCTAGATTTGATGGACTTGTTTTGACCCTCACATTCTTGAGTCGGCCTTATACTCTGAAGGGAACCAGAAAACCCTCCAGCACAGTTCAAGAATAAGCTTGTGGAAAGTTACTTCTTCAAAAGCAAAAGTATCTCATATCATCTATTCTCCATTTGCTTCTCCTTATCCTGGCAGCTGAATGAGAGACAAAGAGAAGGAGAACAATCAACCGGAAGCCGAAGTCGAACCTCCGATCCTGGGTTGCTTGCTTGGAAGTTTGACTGCTTACCTTGTCTGTCACCTCTTTCGGCAGATCTCCTAGCTCGGCGACTTGGGGGACTCCTACTATAGGGTTTGTATCGCACTTGACCAAGCCCGAAACTACAAGTAAGCTTCAAGTGAAATTGATACATTACCTTGTGCATCTTCATCGGTTAAAGATACCACCCATGGATGGAGGAAAAGTACTTCTAGAGAAGATGCCACATCTACATATGAGACAGATAAGGCACGGGAAAATGATACCACACTTCAGTACTTAGAAGTTTCGTGATTACTCAATGGCTTGGATCTTGCAAGTCCCCAACCGAGGAGTTTCCCTCACTCGGGAACTTAGGGGAGCACTGTTTGTACCATACTTGACCAATCCCGAAACTACTGAGCACCGGTCAACGTTATACCGTCAAGGACCCAGAAGAGCTTCCCTTCAACCAGGAGGCCAATCATAATGCGACACGTGTCGACATCAGAAGCCAATCACAGCGTGACACGTGTCAACATCAAAAGCCAATCACAACACGACACGTGTCAATGTTAGAACAAAACTAGAAACTCTCTTCTATAAATAGGGATCATTCTCCCACAATAATCTCTAATGTCATTTTGTACTAAACTATTCACTAGAACTCACAAAATGAGAGCTTGAACCTATGTATTTGTGTAAACCCTTCATAATTAATGAGAACTCCTCTACTCCGTGGACGTAGCCGATCTGGGTGAACCACGTACAACTTGTGTTTGCTTCCCTTTCCCTATTCATTTACGTACTTATCTTCACTAGTGATCGAAGCAACCAAGCGAATGTCACAAACCTGACACTTTCTGTTGTACCAAAGTCCTCGCTGATTTTGTGCATCAACACTTGTCTAATTCTCCTTTTTTTTGGTGAAGCAGGGAATGTAGAATTTCATGCACCACTAGGATATTATCCTGAATTTGCTTCCCATCAACAAAGGTAGATTGATTATCACTAATCACTTTCGGAATCACCTTCTTTAGCCTATTAGTTAACACCTTGGCAAGGATCTTGTATATTACATTGCATAGAGTGATGGGCCTGTATTGCATCATGTTCTTAGGGCATTTCACCTTTGGGATGAGCACCAAGTTTGTGTGGTTTAGTTTCCGAAGAAGTGTGCCTGAGTGCCTGAAAGCTTTAACAATCTTCACCACATCCTCCCCCACAGCCTCCCAGTGATCTTGGTAAAAACATCCAGAGAAGCTGTCAGGGCTCGGGGCCCTTGTAGGTGGGATTTGAAAAACTGACTCCGCAATTTCGCCGTTTGTCACCGGCGCAATCAAGGCAAGGTTGCTCTCACAAGTAACCCGAGCCTCCACACATCTCTCAATCTCCTCAATTTGGCTAGGCTTACAAGACTGAAATAACTCATCAAAATAGGATGTAGCCATAGCACATATCCTGTTTTCACTCTCATGCCACACCCATTGTGAGTCCTCTAACCCCTGGATCTGATTGAACCTTCGTATTTTTAGCGTTTGCGCATGGAAGAACTTTGTGTTCTTATCACCCTTTCTAAGCCATTGAATTCTTCTAGATTTTGCTTTCCAATAGACCTCTTCTTCCTTGTGAACAACTCTGAGATCCCTTTCTTTTTGTTTTACCTCTTCAGTGGCGAACCCATTTGACTTGTAGGCCACCCTAATCTCTTTCTTCAGTTGCTCAATCATTTTCTTGGAGTTCCTGCCTTTCCTTCTATACCACGTCTTTAAACTCCTCCTGAGAGTTTTCATTTTTTTCACAAAATCGAAAGGCATGAGAACCTCTGAACCTATCTCTCCAATCCCCTATGACCAATTCACGGCATTCCTCCATCTTACTCCAACGCGCATCATACCAAAATTTCCTCCCCTTTCACTCCCGTATCTTCTCAGTGGAGAGAAAAAGTAAGACATGATCGGACCCTTCTATCACCACATGCCTGATTTTAGTATCGAGGTAAAGATCGTGCCACCCCAAGGTTGCCAGCCCACGATCGAGTCTCTGCTGAATTGGCAAAGACTCCCTATTGTTCTGCCATGTGATAGAATTGTGATAGAATTTTTTAACATACCTTTGGTTTTGTTTACTACAAGTGTATCTCATTGTGATAGAATTGTGATCCAAAACTGATGCATTCCATAGACAAAGACATGCCTGATACACACCCTATCATCTTTAATTTGACATTTGTTTTCACACATACACACATTATGTATGCTTTTAATTGTTCTGATATTTGTATCATAATTATAGATTATTTTGTTCGAAAATGATTTCCAACACAATTGTTTGGTCGGAACAACATCATCGCAAAAAACATATGTCGTCTTTTGACAACTATATAAGTATTTGTGACCACATTTCCATGTCAAAAATAAAATAACTTTACCATTTTGAAAATTCATTTATGACGAAAAACTAACTATTTTGAAAAAAAGTATTTCCAATGAGACAATTTCCAACGCCCATCAAGGACTTTTTCCCGTTAGAAATAAGTATTTGTGATTGCTGATGCGTAAAATAAGTTAACACATAAATTAAACCCTCTTTTTGACAATTGTAGTATAGATGTAAGTAGGGTATCGTTCTAGGCCGGGGATTAGGAGGGATTGCTAATCTATTCTAAATTAATTTAAAAATATTAAACAAGACTCAAGGACACAAAACTAGGCTAAAAACTCTAATAACTCAAAACACACTTAGAATGACTCAAAATAATGAAAACAATCAAATTAGACACTAGGAATTGAAATTGACAGAAATTGAATTAAAAGACTAACAACAATGAAAACTAACTAAATAATATAATTTAATAATGGGGAGGGTTTGGTTTTGACGAGAAGTAAATTAAACTTAAATAAATTACAGAATTGCAAAAGCATGAAATTAAGGTGAAAGGATAGGTGACGGACTAGTTAGAGGGTTCTTCTCCACACATGACACATATGCAACCTAAATTGATTTTCAGTTGTTCTTTCAATAAATTGTAAATCTCAACGCCCCAAATTAACCGTGAATTGCACTAATTAACCCTCAGTTTTTCCACAAGTTATTGGGTTGGATGATTGCATACGACAACCCAAAACATTCCCTACAAGTTCCCTACATGAATTGCATAATAGATATACAAGCAAGAATCATTAAGTTTTATGAAAAACATGAGCGCATTTACTATGACATTTGGAAAACTTTGCCAATTTTACTTAACGTGATTTGACTAGCACATTCACTCTTGGAATATAGTCATAACGATTAGGTGAAACTCCCTTATTTTAGCGTCAAATTCATGCATGTAAATTAAGTATGCATTCTTTATCGACATACAAAAATAAGTTATCAATTAACGTTTAAGCAAATTAAATCAAAACTCAGAATCTCAACTGAAGAATCAATTCATATTACAAATATATTCATGGCTTGAATTAACTTTAACCAAAATAAATTATTAACATATTAAAACAGGAAAAAAAATATAAGTTTTGGAAAGATTTACCGAGAGAGAAGCAGCTTGCTGCTTCTGTCTGCCCTCTGTTTTTTATTTCCTTTCCCCGCACAGTTTTCTGTGGTCTCTGCCGTCTGCTCTCTCTTCTCCCTCTATTTTCTTGCTTTTCCCGTCACGCCTGTCTTCTTTCTTCTGTCAGTCTGCCCTCACGTCTGCTCTCTCCTATTTCTTTTTTTTTTTTCTGTTTTCTTTTTCTGCTCTGCCTTCCCGGCCTCTCTCTCTGCCCTTGACTTCTGCTAGTCTTTATTCCCCTCTGCCTTGTGCTTCTCTCTCCGCAAGGCAGCTAAGCTGCTTTTCTCCCGCGCCTCTGTCCTCTTATATTTCCTTTTTCTTCTTTCCGTCAGTGTTTCTCTCTTTCCTATTTTTCTATTCTCCTTCTTTCCTTTTTTTATTCCTTTTTCGCTGGCAGCTTTGCTGCCTCTTTTGCGTCCATTAGCTTCTTCCTTCACCACATCATCATGACTTATCATTATTATTTTTTTTTTAATTTAATTTAAAGCTGATCTACACAGACAGTTTTACGAATTTATTACATAAATTTCACTGTTCCATTTTTATTTTCTTTGCATAACAAAGCTTTAAACAACAAAAAAAATAACGTAATAGCTCAAAAAATATAAAGGAACTAACTAAGAAAAGACGGTGAATTCAAGTAAAAATATATATAAATATGAATCCGATCAATTGCAAAATGTCTCTTCCCACGACATTTGACCCTCACTAATGACAGTTGTTTTGCAATGGTTTAACGAAAGGTAGGATCAAGGTTAAATAACTGGGTTTCTAGTTTCAAGACTCCATTTTTCTGTTGGCATAACTTCCAATTCAGAGCTCCGTTCTCTACAAACTTTATATGCTTTTAAAGTAAAAAACACAAGCTTCAAAACTAATATAATATTACACGATGTGGTTTAGATTTGAATTCTCCAAAGGGAGCCTAAACTTGGTCCAACAGTGCTGTTTTTTTGTAGATTTGGTGGAGAAGCATAGTGTTTTTACCACGCCTATTTCTTTCTAGATTCCTTTCTAATCTTCCTTACTACTATTTGAGTGATATTATTTGAGTTGTAAGATTCCAGAATCAGCGTACTTTCTTTAGATAATATTAATTTTGTAGTGAAGCTTTGCGGACTTGTCTCGGTGAGTGATTTTAATATATGTGATATAGTGACTACCCGATTCTGTATATTAATATCATTTGTGGATATGACATGGTTTATAAATGTTGTTTTCTATTAAAATGATTGGTTCTTTTATAAATTGGCCATCGATCTATTTTTATTTTAATGTGATTTTGATTCATGGAGGTAATATTTGTGGAAAATGATTCGAATTGCATATTGAAATGTTTTTGTAATGAGGGTTATAGTGGACTATAACCCTGCTTGGGTTATTACGCGTTGGGGGTCACTAGTGGTCCTGCTTGGTTTATCTGCGTGAGGGACCATACTATAATCTATGAAGATCGACGCTTAATTAAATTCCGCGTTGGGCGATCCTTTATGGCGATTTATACTTAGGGGTGATCTTGGCTTGGTATCCGCATTGGGTGATCACTACACCTAACAGTTCTGTAGGTGTGAACTCTGTTGTTAATCCGCATTGAAGAATCATTAACCTACTTGGTTATCTTAACCTACTTGGTTAATTCGCATTGGGGTCACTAGTGGTCCGCTGGTAATTCTGCATTGGGGGACCATTACTATATATGGATCGCGCTTAGTTAATCCTCGTTGGAGCGATCCTAATGGCCATATATGGCTTAGGAGTGATCATGCTTGGTTAATCGCATAGTTATCACTTCCTATAGTTGTAGGAGTACTCTGTTGGTAATCTGCCATTGGGTATCTTCCAAAATGTGGAGTGACTTGTTGGTAATCCGCGGTTGGGGTCATTGCCTACTTGGTACTTTTCTCAGGGGTGGCTCTGTTGGTTTTAACCCGGGGGTCATTGCCCTACTTGGTTACTTTTCAGGGGTGGCTCACTTGTTAATCCATTTGGGGGAACTTCCTATTTGGTACTATGTGGCTCGGCCGAAGGCCTCAGCCCTAGTTTTATGTACATAGAGGAACGATGTTTGCTCTATTGGGTCGCGCTCATTGTTTGATGGGAAAAGTGATGTCGGGTGACTCCTTCAGGCGGTTAGAGACTATTATTTTTCATATTTACAACTTATTTAGGTTTACAAACTGTATCAATGGTCTTTCTTTTTTATTGATATATCACATATTGTATCATGTCATTCTGCGATCAGTATCCGAGTTTCTTTAGGGCATATGTATGAGAAACCGTTGATATTTGGCCGTTTGGTAGTTCGAACCCAGTGTTTTGGAATTCGTTGGAGCTGGTCTGGAACCTTGCTCTACTCATTCCAAAGGTTATCTTGAATCTGTTCGTTAATTGGAATCATCCACATTATCTTTGCAAATGTTTGTTTATATTCATAATCCAAGATTAATTATATTGACTCTTAATAAATTGTGAAATGATATGTATTCGCTGTGATTAATAATTAAATCAGATGTGCATCTTTGTTCATAAATGATAAATAACGATGTGAATACTGGATATAGTTTATTAGATTATTTTAGTTGATCAATGTTCTAGTGAAATATGTGCCTGATTTCATGCGCACATGAATAGTTATTTGGAACTGATGATTTATGTGATGGGCATCCGTATGTTAAGTGTTGTTACAAAATTAGCTCTTGAACAGTAATAAGTAAATCTGCAAAACGCTCAGACACAAGAACCTTGAACCGATTTATCTTCACACGTGAGGCTAGACCATTAGTGATTTGTTTCCTGTATTGTTTGGATACAATGTTGAGGTAACTTAGGAGGAAAGAGGGAGAAAGCTCTTGGGGAAGCCAAGGGGCTTGTTTCAATCTAGCCTAGAATGAGGATAATTTTTGTTAGGGACCCTTTATCATAATGGTCGAGATTTATTTGATGGCTTTTGTGAGCCCAAATAGAAGCCCAGGCTAAATACGAGGCTAATAATGGACCACAGATCCCCAAGTCTTTTCCATGATTTCTTGGCGAGACTTCAAATTCTATGTACGGGCCGAAACGGTAGGGCTGTGAATAGTACTTGTAGAGTATGCTCAACATAATTACTCGGTAAGTAACAAATTACGAATATGCTGGAGGGACTTTGCGATCTCTCGGAGGTGTCGCGGGCGAAGTCATTTGGGGTGAGGCGATCTCATTGCGAGGCGCGCTCGGCGACCATGCTCGCTGCGAGGGCGGCTCGCTCATGGTTCTATTGCTTTTCTACTTTATGCAACAGCACTCGTTGAGTGATTCTTGACATGAACTCGAGGATCGCATCGTTCAAATTGCTATATGTTCAGATCTGCGGATCAGGTCCGCAAGTGTGTTGGAATTGTGTCATACGTATGCATCAAGTGGAAATGATGAGGGTTGAGTTGGCGGAATAGGTGTCCCAAAACGAATGTCCGGTCAACAGAGAATTCAAATGAGCAGTGCTGCCTCACAAACTATAAGTTGGTAGACTTGTTATAGTTCAACCTTAATTCAGCCTAGTTTTCAATAATTCCTGACAATAAATGACAGTATAAGTCACCGTATAATGAATAATCGAATTGACCAATTTGCAAAAAGAATTATTGTACGATGTTGCCTACTACAAATGATATTATTAGTTGTGGGTAAATCACACTTGCTAAAAATAAATTAGCTAAACACTGCAATGATAAAAGTTTGCACAAAAAGCTTACTTAAAATATCGATCCGACTAGGTAGTTGATTGGTTATATCTTTATTATATTACTTTGAAAGTGTGTAAATTATGCCAACTGACTATTTTGTTCAAGTAAAGTGGGACTAATGAACGTCAGCCGTCTGCGCAAACTGAAATTGAATTTAAAGACATAATAAAAAAAATTAAATTTGACCATCAATCATACACGTATACATCTTTCACTCTGACTAAAAATCTGGTGGATGTACATATAGAGATTATAAGGAATAAAAGAAAAATAAAATTAACTCTATCCAATTTTGTCAATGATTAAACGGCAAATTCACACACCTGAAAATTAAAATGAGAAAAACCAAAATCAGAACTTCCGAGCACTTTCAATGAGAAGCATTGGGATTTGAACCATCATAATATGTGGTTCATAATACTTGACATCTATTACTACCTCACTACATTTGTCAAAATTGCATACACCAACATGAGATATCCATGCTAATTGTATCTGACACTTATCTACATAAATGATAAAACATATGGCAAAACCAGATTTATTCTTAAGCACACATTAAGCTGAGCATGGAAAGGCTTTGGTTTCTCAAACATAATAGAAATAAAATAAGAACCGTTGGAAAATTTGGCAATGATTGGTTAAAAAACAATTTAAAATTACTTTTGATATGACTTGGTTGATTCTAACACTATTTGTTTCCAGATGAATTAAACAAGGCTTAAAAGAAACATGCCAAATCAGTGAGAACTATTAATTAGAAAATCTACTTTGCAATTTATTCATAACCTTTTCCATCACAGAACATTCAAATTTTTCAACAGAACATGGATTCTATAATGTTGGTTAAAGAATAGGTTGGAGCATACCTCGTAGTTTGTGCAAGCTAGAATCACATTGTTATAACACAATGAAAAAATTGGGGTCAAACCTGTTATGAAACAACATTTTAATTAAACGAATGAACGTGGAAATGAGCTGGTTAAAGTATGTTCATTTTTTAGCTAGATACAGGTGACATAATGGATGTTTGTTAAAATTATCGACATCACAGATATGCACATAATGAGGAGTGGTAACATACCTTGTTATTTTTGGAAGCGAGAGAGATGTAGAATGTCAATAGTGACATAAATTTATTGTCAGAGATTTTAAAAACTACAGGAAAGTTGTAATCACATGATACTGTAATTAAATGAGAGAAATCCATAGTGTGTAGAGAAGGAAAAAAAAAAATTTGTACACAGCAAGTTCATAGAAAGACCTATCGGTTAAAAACGAGAAATAACGAAAAAAAGAAAATTATCATTAGGAAATTAGGGCAAAATCTTGGTCAGGCAACGTAAGGAGTTAGGTTTTAGAGGAGCCATCATTGTTCAACATTGGTTTAAAGGTGTTTCAACGCAGAAAAAAATGTAGAGGGATATAAATGTAACAGAAAAGTAACCAAAGTAAGTAGCACTATTTACAATGAACTGAAAATGTGAAACATGTTGTAGAAAGCGATGCAAGTGAATCATATTTTTTTTTTAAATTGTAAAAATAGCAACAAATGATGTTCAGAGATGGATCATATATGCCTTATTTAGTGTCTTTGTGGTATACAGAGATATGAATCCGTGAGTTGTTTGTGGTTTGATTTTTAGCAGCATCATCATGTCCATGTTTTCTCTTCAGATGAACTGATTGTTACCAATATATAAACAAACAGTTTCTTCTTTTCACCTGTTGTAAATAGATTGTAAACTACCTAGTTATTCATTTAAGGACTTAAGATGGACATCCAAAAGTATGAATCTACATGTTTTAATCATAGATATATTTCGCCAGTATCCTTTGATTGAGGAGAAGAAGATAATATGAATTGTACAATTGTTTAACCTATCGAACTAATAATAAGAATGTTGGATAGATAGATTTAACAATTTTGGTTGCAACATCTTTGATAATACCTTTGGATGTCCAACTAAATCCATTTATGGGTAAGGAAGTAGTTAATCATGTATTAAGACCAGGTGAAAAGCAGACATTGAAGATGTACGTCAGTAATAACCAGTTCCTCGGAAGAGAAGGGTTAGCAAAAACTTAATTTAAGCGGCAAACATATATGGAAAAAGCAATAAATTATAATTTTTTAAATAAACTACTGATTGTTACAGGAATGTACCTCCATATGAAACAAAGTAGGTGATCAACTGTGCAAGCAAGCGAGATTCAACAGGCTGATTACCTAGTTTGTAGAAAAAAAAGAGATTAGCATTAACATGTTTTTAAGTAAATGTAGTATTTTTATACACATTTTATAAATTTAAATCCAGACGGTTACATAATCACAAAGAAAGTATAGCAAATGTCGACAATGTACATGTATTGTTCAAGCAAGGATTCAATAATTTAAAAACATAACGTTTTCGTTGCATAATATCATTAATAAAGAAATTTATTGAATAATTGAATAAGAAATACAAAAATGCTTTAAGAAAACAGGAAAAATTCAAAGAGAGTATATCAATGTGGAGACAAAAAATGGAAGAAAATTTAAACAGTGTTTCTATGCATATATGAAACAGTGTAACACATTATAAAGTTGGAATAATACAAAAGAATCTATAATGTGGGCAAAGTTAAAAAAAATAGTTGTATTAAAACATACCCAAGTTTAATGTTTGTTTTGTACATTATCTTTGGCTTGCTTATATAATTCATTGTGTATAGACAAAACGTAGGTAAGCATAACAGTTAACAGTTTCACTGTAAATTTTGAAGGACATCTTTAAAGACTATATTTGCAGTATAATTTTTTACATCATTTTCTCCATGAGATATTAAAATTTTGAGACCTTTTCTTGATGTTACTCTAGATAATGCAACGTATAGCTGACCATGGTTAAAAACTGGCTCAAGAAGATATAATCCTACTTGTCTCAAAGATTGTTCTCAATGACTGAAGGTGATGGTATACAGTTGATTGACTCGTTTCGGATGAAGACAACTGTGAACATTTCTAAGCCAAAAGCTGTTGTGATGTTTGTTAGAGAGATTTTCCCATCAAATCTCTCTGACACAGCGGAAACAGACTGCACGTGCTGCCTCTTCCGTTCTGATTCATTATCTGCAAAATATGCATCTATCGAACACCAGAAGTCTAACTATAGAACATTATCTTAACGGAAAACAGAAACTACAAAATTTGAACTTTGATCTAAAAGTTATTCATTAATTTCTTTATATCTTTTGAATAAGAAATTATTGCATAAATGAATGTATCCTGTTCACCACAGATTAGTAATCAATTCTAATTTGGTCTATATATATATATATATATATATATATATATATATATATATATATATATATATATGTATGTATATGTATATGTATATGTTGCCATTGTCCTAACAAATGAATCTCTTAAAACTCGATATGGAGCATTCTTCTCTTCCCATGTTTGTAGGATATATTACATGGAGATGACCTTCTCTGGCAATTCTATAGGACGTGATCAAACTTTTGTGCGTTTTCCTCCGTGATTTGTTTCCTTTGACTATCTTAAATGTATAAGAAAGATTGAAAAAGATAAATGTATATTAGATAAAAGCTTGATGAAACGTAAGAAAAAAATACATGTCCATCCGAACTCCATCTTATATAGTTAATAGATACATATGAATCATTTCCCAAAGCTTCATGAAATAATGACATGCTTAAGTTTCCTATCATGTCAGTAAGAGTAATTTAATCTAGAAGAAGACCCACCTTTAAGGCCATTGAGCATGCTTCAAGATCGCACACTAAAATTCTTCGAAACCAATTTTGTCATGGAACTAACATCTCACAATCCTTTGGCCTTTCTCCAACGTCAATTTCAATGTTGCATGAAAAAAGATCAGTACTTTCCATAATTATATCTTAAAAGTTCATAATAATAAAAATCAGAAATGATACGCACCTTGTCACTCTTCCAATGACTTCACTGATGGCATAGTCATTAAGTATCCAATCACATCTAGTGCCAATTCTCCCTTCCCCTTGGCACGGTGTTTCTATTTCAATGACATCACTCCTGTCCCACAAACCCACATTTTAAGTTTTTTCAAGATTAGAAATCAAAACCAAGGTTGCTGTTTATTTCGTTAGATCATGTTCTAAAAATTTAGCTGTATAATGCCTCATCCCTTAGCAAAGTTGAGAGAAAAGCTTTTCCAACAAAAAAGTAACGTCTTCTTGACAATCATGACTACCTAACCACAATGCTCACTGTCCAATCAACTGAGAAAACAGAAGGGTCCAATGGAGGTGTTCCTTTCTCTGCTCATCATCCCAGATCTCTTTAAGTGTCGTTTCATGGTGCATCTCAGAAAGATATCAATCACAAAAGGCCAAACATAACTATTACCCGAAAAAAAAAAACATAAAAAAAAGCCTCACCTCTGTATGCCTATCTGAATAATTCCCACATAGAGGCACATTAAGATCATCCGGCTCCGCCGTCTCCAAATTCTCTTATCTTTTTCCTCCTGATGAAGCCGTTTCCTCAAAGTTCTCGACGTCATGGCGCTTGCTAATCCTATATAATCAGACTGCATTTCCAAACAAATCATCTCATCAGTCACGTTGTTATGAGCCAAATGCAGCATCTTTCACACACTGGTAAACAAACCAATACCAGATTCTCTCGAAACTTAAATTAAAACTAACACACACATATGCATAAGCACATTACTTACACTCTAACCACTAAATAAGTGCAATTTAACACTAATCCACAACTGCTTACAGTCCCGTAGCTAACAATATATACACATACATATCTATATGCACAGAAACATGAAGATTTCAGAAAATGAAACATAAAAACAAAGATGGACAATGTAGGACAGTGTAGGACAAAGTTTTGGTAGCTGGGTGAAAACAAAAACAACCACTAATACAATCAAGTAAAATAAATGCAAACCAAGAACATGTAGAAGTATATAAATGCAGAAAAGAAAACAAACCTCTTGTAGAAGTGATGAGAAGGAATGAAAAACCAGAACACCACCTGTTCAAAAATACAAAAATGAAAAGAAAAAAAATCAGTCTTCAAAACTCTGTGCAAAATAGTGAATTTGTGTTATCATCATATTATCCTCACCATTATCATTATCACTACCCTCCTGCAATTCCTTGTTCTCCGATTTCAAATCACTCTAATTCTCATCCCAGTACTTCTATAATTCTCAAATCACAAAATTCCAGTAAGAGTATGCCGAAACACAAAATCAAAATTCAATTTCATTTTGCACAAAGCAACTTAAAGATTGAGACTTTTATTTACTTCTACAATTATACACACTTTTGAGCCCTAAATTTTCCCGGAAACAAAAGAAAGTGAAAGAAGTCATACCTGGTTCGAGAGGGCTTGCAAGCTTCTATACAAAAACCCTAAAATTTGAACAACAACGTTTCCTGAAATAAAAAACTAAATCAGATCAAACACCCACACACAAAATACCAAAAAACAACAGAATACTCAATACAAAAAGGCAAAGGCTTGAATTTTATACTAATCTATTTGGAAATTTTCTTCTTAACCAAACAAATGATCAAGAAGTTAATGAAGCAAAGCACCTGAAACGCATGATTGGTTCCTGGAAAACGGCGGAGAGAAATAGAGAGAGTACGTTTTTAGATGATCGGATTGGATTTGAGGCAAGAGAGGGAGAGAAAGAGAGAGGAAGAGAAGCAGAAAGGCGATGGAACAAAATGGAAGACGCTGGAAGGGTCTTCCTTACCAACAACGATGACACGCGGAGACTACGTGCAAAGGGTAGCCAAAACATCCACCGATGACGGACACGTGGAATCAATGGGCATAAGCGGCATTTCAGTGCCCCAAAAACCAAAGAGAGGAACAATCGGAGGAAAAAGCCAGGGACAAAAGCGTCCCACCACTGGTCATCCACAGTACTACCCTGATTGGGTTTTAGTATATAGTGATATATTGATCAGTTCGATGCATGTGTTTAGCACATGCGAGTTATGATCATTTACAATGATTAAGTACTGACTTTCTGTCAGCACAATACATTTAATATGGTGTTACATGGCATATAAGTGATGCATTTGTATTGCACTACGCATACTGATATTGGTATGTGCATAGCAGACTTAAGTTTACAACAGCATTATTTAATAAAAGCACAAGCACGCGGCATATGCGGTTGCATTCTAGCAACAAGTATATATATATATATATACTGTTGTGATGCCAACTATCATTATATACTAATAATGCTTTCTAGCAACAAGCACGGCATATACTAATAATGTTTTTGTGATGCCAACTATCATTATATATATATATATATATATATACATATATTAATTATGCTTTTGTGAGTGCCGATTATAATGAAATACTATTGATAAAGAACGAAGATGCCTTATCTTTATCCCGACATTGGCGGTCGACAGGAAAAAGTGGATGGAGACCTAACGCTTTTTGTTGTTGTCCAAGCCCTTTTGATGATGATTATCATCCATTGGAATATCCTGCTGTAACAAACTCAATTGGAGTGGAGCATAGTGGCGGGGCCCAAATAAGGCTCAGGGTTCCACTAATAGTTAGGGCAGGATGTGCAGAGGTGAGGTAAGTGGAGAAAGCAGGGACGGAGTACTGGCATGGTCTTGGAGACAGGTTGGACGAAATAGTTGTTGACCCAGTCATTGCCTCCGAGAGTTATGAGCACAAGTGACTGTTCACTAGCCGTGTTACCTGTTCTGCTCCAACAAGCGCAGTCAGTCGTTGCTGGTATTGTTGGAACAATTCAAACTGCCTGAAGATCCTGATAATAGTAAGCAGGAAGAGGAGGAGGCCCAGATATGATGGCGCCATGATCTGGTGGGCGATGCAAGCCTTGGAAACATAGACCTGCTTGATAATATGCTCATGAGGTCACCAACATAGACCACCGGATCGTGAACCAATCGGTTCTCTCGAAAAACTTGCAAACCATCGATGTTGATCTGGTGGGCGATGGAAACGAGGCTCGTACCAGTTAGGGGAATAAGGTTTGGGGCCCGATCCGGATCCGGACAAGATGGGTAAGAGTCGAGCCGTGAATGAACAGCGTTGTAGGACAGTGGGCTGACCAGGATGCATCTTGGAAGATCAGCGCTCCTCAGAGGCCAGCGTTGTAGGACAGTGGGTTGACCCGTGAATGAACTTCTAACCAACTCTAGGACAGTCGATGACTTTTAAGTTGCCGTCCTGGTCTAGGAGAAAGTTCTCCGGCTTCAGATCCCGGTGGTAACGTCGCGGCTGTGGCAGGAATCTATGGCGGAGATGAGCTGCCGGAATCTCTGGCAATTTCTTCCCTTAGCCGGCCCTTGACGATTTTGGCAAAAGAGCTCGTCGCTGCAGACCAGATCCATAGCGAAGTCATGACGAAGATCTCCCTTTTGATCTGTTCCACCATCCCCACCCTAATCACCTTCTTTTTCCCCCACAACTTTCATTGCCACGTTGTTCTCGCTCTGTAGGTGGTGGGCGTGGTAGACCTTGGTGAAGGTCTAAGCTCTTCCAACACATGAGAAGCAGAAGGGAACTTTTGGGAGCAAATATCTAGGTCTTTATTTATTTATTTTTGTTTAGCTTGTATAATCTAGAGGTCGCACTTTGTGCGATGGCAAGTGCCTTCGCCCATGAGCGGTAGGTCTCGGGTTCGAGACTTGGGAGCAGCCTCTCCATAAATGGGGGTAAGGCTAGCCGACATTCACCTCTCCCAGACCCTGCGTAAAGCGGGAGCCTTGTGCACTGGGTACGACCTTTTTTTTTAGCTTGTATAATCTGCGTTTGCAGAAACTGAGAGATGAAGTATGGAGTGAGGGAGGGGAAAAGTAGAAGGCTTAAAATGCAGATACCAGAAAGAAATATAGAAATAGTGAGATAGATAGAGTTTTCAGTCACTCCGTAGGTGTTTGGTTTCTTGGGTTTTGCAGATTCACAGTGGATATTGTGGTGAGGTTTCATGGTGGTGAGATGAAAAAATGAAAGAGAACCGACATAGCTTTTCGTGTCGATTCCCACAGACGGCGCCAAATGTTGATGCACAAAATCAGCGAGGATTTTGGTACAACAGAAAGTGTCAGGTTTGTGACCTTCGCTTGGTTGCTTTGATCACTAGTGAAGATAAGTACGTAAATGAATAGGGACAGGGAAGCAAACACAAGATGTACGTGGTTCACCCAGATCGGCTACGTCCACGGAGTAGAGGAGTTCTCATTAATTGTGAAGGGTTTACACAAATACATAGGTTCAAGCTCTCATTTTGTGAGTTCTAGTGAATAGTTTAGTACAAAATGACATTAGAGATTATTGTGGGAGAATGATCCCTATTTATAGAGGAGAGTTTCTAGTTTTGTTCTAACATCGACACGTGTCGTGTTGTGATTGGCTTCTGATGTTGACACGTGTCGAGCTGTGATTAGCTTCTGATGTCGACACGTGTCGCATTGTGATTGGCCTCTTGGTTGAAGGGAAGCTCTTCTAGGTCATTGACGGTATAACGTTGACCGGTGCTCAGTAGTTTCGGGATTGGTCAAGTATGGTACAAACGTTGAGGTCTTTTCATTCGGTTGGATCTGGCCTCCACTCCCTACTTGCTGATAAGGGGTGACTGTAGGGGGTTTCCCTTGATATGTCCTTACCTCGGCGGAGGCATGGTTGTAAGCTTGTGTCATCACCTCAGAGTAAGTCTTCCAAGTGTTGGCATTGATCATGTACTTGAAGAAACAGTCACGTAAGCCTGCAGTGAAAGCCTTGAGGGCGGTCTTGTCATCTGCCTCAGCGCAGCGAGAATACTCATGGCTGAAGCGGCCAGCGTACTTTCGTAATGACTCGTCCGGCTTCTGGCGAATAGTGTACAAGTCATCTGCGGAATGCAAGCGATCGGTCTGGAAGATGTGTTGAGAGACAAACAGCTTTCTCAACTCTTCAAATGAGTCTACTGTCTCAGGTGGAAGATAGCAATACCAGTTTAAAGCTCCGCCAGAGAGGGTGGAGGGGAAGAGAAGGCACCGTTCTTCGTCGGTGTGTCCCCGGTATACCATGGTGGACTCAAAGAGGTTAAGGTGTTCAATCGGGTCTTCCCTTCCAGTATAGAGCTGTAAGTCAAGCTTCTGCTTTGTCTTCGCTTGGAGGGGAGTGTTGAGGATCCTTCTTGTGAGAGGGCCAGGCCTGGGTTGGTTCCAGTCAGGTATCTCGGCTTGACGTTCAGCCTTCAACTTGTTTACTTCCTCAAGGAGCTGTAGGACAAAGGGGTCCTGAGCGGAGTCGTGCACCACCGAAGTTTTCTTCTTTAAGTCCCCATCGCCTCTTGGAAGTAGGAAAGTTTGATCAAGATAGCGTGATCTTTCTCTGGACTCGCCACACTGACTTCTAGAGTGAGTATGTCGGAATGTTTCCGAGTCCCCAGTACCTTCATATTCTTCTGGGACTTGTTGCCCCTTCTCTAGATTGGCGGCTGGCCTGGGTCGTGGAAGAGGACCGAGTCTTTCAGAAACCCTTGGGTCATTGATCTTCGAGCTTATGTGGATGGGATTCTCTCGACGTTGCTTTAGGAAGTCTCGACAATCGCGATAGACAGCTTTTGATCCTTCCACACCCTCTGTGAGGAGGTGTTTTCCTCTACTTCTCCTGCTTCAGGTTGAAGCAGCTGGGTTGAGAGAAGTCTCATGTTGATTATCACATTGGTGTGTAGCTCGATCCCTATCAAGGATGTCCGTGTCGGATATCGGCGACCCTCCGTGTTGGGGGGCATTCAGTTGATTGTTGACCTCGACAGGGGGCGACGAGCTTATGTGTTTGAGCCTGCCTAGCCTCGTGAAGCATCTCGAAAAGTTTTTCATATTTTTCCTGGAGGACTTAATTCTTCATCGCTATCTTGTTGTTCTGAACCTCTAGCTCATCGACTTTAGCTTGAAGAGTAACTCTATTTCCTTCCTGCTTTCGTTGCTTCATACTAGGTCCAGCAGGGGTGTCATTCTGTGTGCTGTGGCTTCTTTCGCTCCCCATATCGGAGAGAGATGCTTGGCCAAAAGAGAGTGTACGAGCGGTGGAAACCAGCTTGACAAAGCTGAAGAGAGTGGGAATAAGTGTCGTTTCCCACAGACGGCGCCAAATGTTGATGCACAAAATCGGGGCGGTCTTGGAACAACGTAAATTCGACCGTGAATCTGCACAAACGCTCAAGAACACAAAGAACACAAGGATTTTATCGTGGTTCACCACAATGTTTGGGCTACGTCCACACTGTAGTTGATTCCGTTTCTCTGTAATTGTATGGATACAAGTGTTTGAGGGGAAGTCCCCAGAGAGAGAAAAGAAGGGAGAGGAGAGCCTCGGTGGTGTGAGGACTCTCTCTCAAGGCTTCTAGCCTTTGTTTTCAGCTCTAGCCCTTAGAAATGAGGACTTAAGACCTTTTTTTAGAATGAGGGGGAGTCCCCTTTTATAGAATAAGGGGCTCCTCCTCTTTTACATTTGTCGTGGGCTTAATGTGTGAGGCCCAAATACGAAGCCCAAGGCCCAAATACGAGGCCCAAATATATGGTACCAACAATCGTCATGTGGGATTGTTATGTTGGATATCATTGTTACAGTTATGATTAGACTTGTTGATAAATATGGCTAGAAAGTATGTTGTGCTTCGTCGTTTGTTCTTTGAAATATTGCATGATATGCATTGTGGTATATTATTGGGACATAACGATTTATGTGATGAATATTCGAGTATAGTGAAATAATGAACTACGAATGACTTGATCCTTATTTAGGGTACGTAGGCAATCTAACGAGGATGTTAGATGCAGCCATAAAGTTACGAAGAATTATTACGCATTTGATTATCAAGTTGTGATTTGCCATATTCCAGAGGCGGGATCTGTTAAATATACGGATGCTAGGTGACGTCACGTGTCGATCAAATGTCGGGTTCCGGGCGTGACAAATTTTATACGATACATTTTACATATAAAAAGTTGGTACATTTTGCAGAAAAAAGGGTAATACATTTTCTATAATGGTTACATGTCATATAAAAAAACAATAGGTACATTTTACACAAAAGAGATGATATGTGACCACCCATCCCTATTTTGTTGCATTTTATATTTTTATAAAATGTTTTTCGGATATTTTCACTCGTCTTTAGTGATCTTAATTTAAAATTCAGAGAGGACCCACATGTCTTCTCCTGTTCTTTTCCGCGTGAATCTCTCTTTCCTATCTCTTTCCTTTTTCTTCTCAATTATTTTCACACACTCTCTCTCTCAATTATTTTCCACATCTCTCTCCTTCACACACTCTCTCTCATCTTCTCTCTTCTTCTCCCTCAAACCGAAGCTCTCACTTCTCCTCTGCAACCTAAGACAAATCACCAAAGTCGACGAACCGACGTTCAAATTACCACCATCGTACTCCTTTCATCCTCACGAACTCAACCATATAAACGGAATCAAGAACAAGTGAGTTTTGGACGTCGAACTCGGAGGCTCCGACTCGGTTCGAAATTTTCCCGACGAATATCCGGGCCAGTTACAACGTTTTAGAAGGTTTAGAAGTCACCACACGACTCCCCAAGGTCCGTAGTACAAGTTTGAAGACAAGCTAATGTGAAAAAGCACGAGTTCAGAAAATTAAAGTTTGTGCCGTGCGCTTCGAAGCCATTTTCAATCGATTTTCATCCACTTTTTGGAATTTTAAAAGGTATAGACTTGTTCTACTCTTCATAAGCTTCAATTCCATATAAGTTACGTCGAAAATGGTTGAGAAATGAGCAAGATATGAATTTTTGAAAATTTTCCAGTTTTTCCTGCGGACCGCCGAGGGAGGTTGACCGGAGAAGAAGAAGGAATATTCCGTTAAAGTTAACGGAATATTCTGACACTTTTAAGGTAATTGATGCTGTTATTGTTAACAAAATATTCTGTTAAATTTGACGGAATATTCCGCTGGCGTCAGCCACATGTCAGGCTCGTGGCGGCACGTGATCTTGGCTGCGAGTGATTGACACGTACGGGTCCATGACGTCGCGTAGAATGTTTAAACTCTCGGTTTGAGCAAAATATAAGGGGTTTTTCCTAGTATTTTGTATATGTGTTAATTAATTAGTTATTAAAGTTAATTCTTTTTATAGGAATTAATTATTCCGGTGACGTACGAGGTCAAACAAGGCAAGGAAAGCTACGATCCGACTACATATTTGTGAGTGGGCATTTGTTTTTATATATTATATATAAAGTTTTATAATTTCCACATATGCTTTTAAGAATTAATATTATGCCTATTATGCCATAATTTAATTCGATAAACTATGATATTATATGATTGAGATATAGGAATTGTCATGGCAAAATCATATGTTACTACTCAAGCATGCTACACAGGTGTAAGTACTAGCCCCACATTAAATGGTTACATCACCTTTGGATGTCATGTCTTTGACTCCGTCAGGGTGTGTCATGGTACTTACAAAAAAATGGGTACATTTTACATATAACAAAGTGGTAGATTTTTAAAGACAAATGGGTACATTATTAATAAATTATGGGTACAAATAAAAGGTCAAAAAATATGAGTACAAATAAAATTTGAAAAATATGGACATAAAAAGAAATTAATATATGAGTACAAACTAAAAATAAATAGAAAATTGGCACAATTTAAAAAAAGGGTTGCAAATTAAAATGGGTACAAACTAAAAATAAAAATATATGATACAAAATTTAACTATAAATATAAATATATCAAATGTAACATTTCTAACACTAAATGAATAATTTAGAAATAAAATTTAATTATCTTGATATGTAAAATATTTTATTATTGAAATAATTAATGATGTTTATTAAAATCAAGGAACCTTAATTAAAAATTAAATTGTAATAAGATTTCAATCAATGAGGTTGAAAAAAAGAGAGAAATCTAATTTCTTTTTTATTTTTATTTTTATATTTTATTTTTAGTGTTGTTAGGTGAGTTAACAGAGTTTAAAGGGTAGTTAGTGGTAAAACAGGCGTCAAGATATGAGAGAGGTCACACAAAATTTTGAATGCAAAAGATTTGAATTTCGGAAGGAAGGTGAGGTGAGTGGGATAATAAAAGTAACGCGCTTGGAAATTGGTTTGGTCACTTCTCTCTCTTAAACACTAGTGTTTGTACCCGACCCCAGCATTCTCCCAACCCCCCCCCCCCAGCTTTTAAACCTTTATTTCGGAAAAGGATTCCCACGGGATCCTCTTTACGAGGATCAAGCAATTTTATTATTGAGTGATCATAAATTATTTAAAATTTAAAATTACAATAAATAGTATATAACGAAAACTAATCGTATAATATACGATAAACGAATATAATTGTTTGATCTCCGAGATTCTTACAAAAAGAAATCGACGGAAATCATTTTTCCTTTATTTCTTTTATTTGGCCGTCTCTTAGTGCGCAGAGGGAGGTCCCATCCCACGTGTCCCTTTTATCACCATTTACCATTGTCCTCCACGCACTAGCAAACTTCCTTGATCTGGAGGAAATTCCACCTTTCTCTTTTTTAAGTCCTCCACTAGGGATATAATTATAAGAAAAATTAATAAAAAAAATTTGAAAGAGTTTTAACGATAAAGATAAAATAAAAAATGAAATAAATAATGTCAAAATTAAATTTTTAATGTAAAAACATAATTTTTAATTAAAATAAACAGCACCATAAATTTTTCGTTAAAATTTCTATATTATAAACTCTCTTCCGTTTGAATGCAGATTGTTTCTGCGCTGAAAGTGTGCGCAATTTCGTCTGTATATTTTTTATTGTTTAATCTCTGATGATTTTCTTGGAACATGCGTATATTTTTTATTGAAAGATGCTTTACAGAAAGTGCTTTTGGACAAACTTTCCTTTAATTAAGCATATTTAAAAGAAAATTTTAAAGTAGCATCATTATCAATTATAAAGTATTTTTAAGTATGTGAAAGTGACTAATCCTTGTTTCTCCAAATTTTCAATTTTTGTTCTCCATGGAGCCTTTGTAACTTTGTGCACAGACTACAATTTCAATTTTTCTGTGGTAAACTCTAATCTAGTCTCAGGTGCGACTGTAGTTCAGATTCTCCTTCTGCTATCTGATCCATGAAATAGAGAGATGGAGTTGATTGGCCTCATTCAAGTTTTCAACATCATCGTCATCGCCATCGGGACTCTGTTTTACATGTGCTGCAGATCTTTGACATTTTCTTCTTCTTCGTCTTCTGCGGTTAATTCTGCTGTAGCTGATTGTGCTGCTGTTGCTGATGATGAGGATGAGGATGCTGATATCCCCCCACGTCGAGAAAAGTATGATGTGTTTATCAGTTTCAGAGGTGAGGACACCCGCCTTGGTATTACCAGCCATCTTCGTGCTGCCTTACTTCAGAAGAAATTGGAAACATACATCGATAACAGACTAAAGAGAGGAGAAGAAATCAGACCTGCCCTTCTAGAAGCAATCGAGAAATCCACCATTTCGGTGATCATTTTCTCACAAAACTATGCTTCTTCCACATGGTGTTTGGATGAGCTTGAGCATATACTCGAATGCAAGGAAAGATATGGCCAGATGGTTATACCCATATTCTTCGACATCAATCCATCTCATGTACGAAACCAACACGGGAGTTATGCGGATGCATTTGCTCAACTTGAAAAGCGTTTCCATAACAGTATCCACAAGGTGCACAAGTGGAGGGATGTCTTGACGACTGCGGCCAATCTATCTGGCTTTGATTATTCAAACAAATACGGGTAACTAACTCATCCTTTAACTTGTATAAAATTGTAAATTTTCTTTAAACTTGTGACAATTTGATTTGGGCTAAGACTTGGTAAAGCGTATTTAGGACTAACTATTGCTTTTCTACCTAATCATATATATCTATATGCCAGGACGGAGGCAGATCTAATTCAGAAGGTTGTCGATCATATTTGGATACAACTGTGTCGCGAATCATCCCGCGATTTAAATGGGTTTGTTGGAATCGAAAGCCGCATCAAGCAGATCGAATTGCTGTTAGGCATTCATTCACAGGACGCTTGCATCACTGTCGGTATTTGGGGCATGGGTGGTATTGGCAAGACCACCCTTGCCGAGGCTGTATTTCGCATACACTCTTCTAAATTCGAAGCTTCTTGTATTCTTAAGAATATTAGGGAGAAATCAGAACAAGAAGGTGGACTAGATCACTTGGAAGAAACACTTCTTAAGGAGATATTAAAGGAAGAAGTTTTGCCGGTAGGATCAACTTTGGTTGGAGAAAGGCTCAGTCGTACAAAGGTCCTCATTGTTCTAGATGACGTGACTGATTCATGGCAAATGGAACGTTTAGTTGGAGATCGTCTCCGGTATGGCAGTGGAAGTAGAATCATTATCACAAGTAGAGATAGGGGCACACTTGGGCAAACTGTTGAAGAGGCTAAGATCTACGAGGTTGAGGGATTAAAATCGAAAGACGCTCTTCAGCTCTTCTGTTTGCGTGCTTTCAAGAATAACGGTGCTCGTAGAACAGATTTTAAGGAGTTGGCAGAAAAGGTGGCGGCTTATGCTGGGCGCGTTCCTTTAGCTCTTACAGTTCTGGGGTCGTTGTTCTACAATTGCAAGAGCGAAGAAGAATGGGTAGAGGAATTCAACAAATTGAAACAATTTTCCCGCAAAGATATTCAGAAAGTGTTGAGAATAAGTTATGATGGATTGGAACAAAATGAGAAGGATATATTTCTGGATATAGCATGTTTTCATAAAGGGAAGGATGTGTATTTGGTAAAACGAAAGTTAGCTTCCTGTGGACGCTTTCCGAAAACCGGAATTGATATTCTCATTAATAGGTGTCTCATATCAATTGATTCAAAGTGGGGAAGCGAAATCATAGAGATGCACGATTTGCTACAAGAAATGGGAAGGACAATTGTTCAAGAACAATGTATTAAAGATCCTGGTAAACGGAGTAGGTTGTTCACTGCTGAGGATGTCTATTGTGTATTGAAGAGTAACACAGTAAGAGCCAAATGCATTCAATTTTTTTCTTTTCTTCTTTTTTTAGAAAATAAAAATTACAAACTTGAGATGATAACACAACAAAGTAAAACTAATTTATAATTAAGAAGTGAGATTGTTAAAAGATGAATTTGATTGAATATTTATTGTGTTAGGAAGTGTTTGGAATATGAACAAATGTTTGTTTATTTAGACAAGTAGAGGAGGATACAATTATGTTGGATATTTGACTAGACTAAGACACTTGTACATGATTACCATCGCAAATACTCTTTGTTTCAAATGTGCGTTACATTTTAATATGTTTATATTCACATTTAAACTTTCTTCTTATTCCCAGGAAACTCCAAATGTTGAAGCCATACGGGTTGATTGGTCTTACATTGAAAAGCGAGCATTGAAACGTGCAGACTTCAAAAAGATGTCTAAACTAATAATGCTAATTGTGGATGGTGGCTACACATTCACCGCTTCTCTAGACCTTCCCGATTCTCTTCGTTATCTTGAGTGGTGGGGATATCCACTGGAATCTTTGCCGTCAAAATTTTGTTCGGAAAATCTAGTTGAGCTTCATATGCCATATAGCAAAGTTAAGAAGCTTTGGAAAGAAGAGCAGGTATATTATATTATATGCCTATTTCAATTCTTGTATAAAATAAAGTGTAGAAATTATATCAATTCTTTATATTTCTATTTCATTTGTTGCAGATACTTGTCAACTTACAAGTTATCAATCTGTACGACTCCAGATTACTAACTGAAATTCCTGGGTGTTTTCAACATCTCCACAAGTTTACTCGTCTTGAGCTTGAATGCTGCATGAGTCTCAAGTATCTTCCAGAGGTGTCAGGAAATCTTCAACACTTAAATTTACAAAGCAGTGGTGTAAAGGAGTTGCCTGAATCAGTTTGGTCTAACGAAAATATTTCCTACTTGAATATAAGTCATTGCAAAGACCTTGAGAAACTTCCAAGCAACAACTGTGAGCTAAAAGTCTCTAATGTTTTGGGTATTGAGAGCTGCACATCTCTTGGCGAGTTTTCTGAGCTTCCCAGGGATATAACTAAATTATCATTGGTTGGTTTCAAGAGACTTGTGAGTCTACCAACCCACATTTGTAAGTTGAAAAATCTAAAGGAACTCAATCTCTATGGCTGCTATGAACTTGAAAAATTCCCAGAGATCTTGGAGCCAATGGAACATTTGGTGTCTCTTCGTTTGCAAGGGACAGCTGTCAAAATGCTTCCTTCGTCTATTGGAAATCTAATTACTCTTCAAACTTTAGACCTTAGTGGCTGCAAGCACCTTGTGAGTCTACCAACCAACATTTGTAGGTTGAAAAATCTGAAGGAACTCAATCTCTATGGCTGCTTTGAACTTGAAAAATTCCCAGAGATCTTGGAGCCAATGGAACATTTGGTGTCTCTTCGTTTGCAAGGGACAGCTGTCAAAATGCTTCCTTCGTCTATTGGAAATCTAATTACTCTTCAAACTTTAGACCTTAGTGGCTGCAAGCACCTTGTGAGTCTACCAACCAACATTTGTAAGTTGAAAAATCTGAAGGAACTCAATCTCTATGGCTGCTCTGAACTTGAAAAATTCCCAAAGATCTTGGAGCCAATGGAACATTTGGTGTCTCTTCGTTTGCAAGGGACAGCTGTCAAAATGCTTCCTTCGTCTATTGGAAATCTAATTAGTCTTCCAACTTTAGACCTTAGTGGCTGCAAGCACCTTGTGAGTCTACCAACCAACATTTGTAAGTTGAAAAATCTGAAGCAACTCAATCTCTCTGGCTGCTTTGAACTTGAAAACTTCCCAGAGATCTTGGAGCCAATGGAACATTTGGTGTCTCTTTGTTTGCAAGGGACAGCTGTCAAAATGCTTCCTTCGTCTATTGGAAATCTAATTAGTCTTCAAACTTTAGACCTTTGTGGCTGCAAGCACCTTGTGAATCTACCAACCAACATTTGTAAGTTGAAATATCTGGAGGAACTCAATCTCTCTGGCTGCTCTGAACTTGAAAACTTCCCAGAGATCTTGGAGCCAATGGAACATTTGGTGTCTCTTAGTTTGCAAGGGGCAGCTGTCAAAATGCTTCCTTCGTCTATTGGAAATCTAATTAGTCTTCAAACTTTAGACCTTCGTGGCTGCAAGCACCTTGTGAGTCTACCAACCAACATTTGTAAGTTGAAATATCTGGAGGAACTCAATCTCTCTGGCTGCTCTGAACTTGAAAACTTCCCAGAGATCATAAAGCCAATGGAACATTTGAAGTACTTAAATTTAAGTGGAACAACGGTTAAAGAGCTACCATCATCAATCGAGTTTCTCTCTGCTCTCAAAAGAATTAAACTACAAGGTTGCAAACGGCTTTCAAGTATCCCAAAGAGCATTTGTAAGTTGAAATGTCTCGAGGAACTCAATCTTTCTTGGTGCTCTACACTTCGAAACTTCCCAGAGATCTTGGAGCCAATGGAAAATTTGAAGTCCTTAAATTTAAGTAGAACATCAGTTGAACAGGTATACACATCATCAATTGAATTTCTCCCCGCTCTCAAAAATATTGAGCTAAAAGGTTGCAATAAGCTTTCATGCATCTCAAAAAGCATGTTGAAATATGTTACAAGACCTGATGCGTATGAAACAAGTGAAAGTGATGATCATGGGTCTGAAGCCAGTGAAATTGAAGATGATTCGGACTTATAATCCAACAATCTTAAGCATCGTTATCCAATAGAATTAGGAAAAACTTTACAGCAAATTTTGTACTTTGAGAGCTCACTTGTCTGTCCAAGAAATAAGATGACAAAATAGGCAAGGCTTTTAGTATTTTAGTATTGTTTATACTTTATACATTATAAAGCGCAAGTTATGGACAAGTGTCTAATATCCTATTTGTTATCTTTTAAAACTTGATTTACAAGTCCAGCGGCATCTTGAAATTCGCTTTTATATCATTAGACATGAATTAATACGCCAGGCCAAGGCAAAGTAAAAATCTCACGACCAAGAGCAATAGTTTGGATATTCAATACTACAAAAATATGCGATAGTTCGATGGCTTTACTACAATGAGCAAAAAATATGAATGGCCCGATTGGACTAACACCGGCAAACTCAGTGTTCTTGTTTAAACTAAACAAAGATCAGCGAAACAAATTTTATTAGAGAGGGTAAAAAATTACAGCAAATTAAGGCTGAAAAGAAAAAAGCACAGCCCCAATTTAATAATACAATCATCAATTTTGTAACAATGATAAAACTATTAAATATTATCTCTAGCATCCAAAATTTCTTTCTCCAAGTTTGGCATATTTGTTATGATTTGAAACTTATCAGGAAGTAACTTGCACACATAACTTTACTGCCCAAGATGAAAAAATTGGGGAAACATTAAAGTTCTAGTACCTTTTTATCAGCTTCGGTTGCTTGTTTGAACTTGAGTTCAGTGAGTTAACCTCCTCTGTACTCGGTTGATTTACATGACGTTTCTCCAATTCTGGTACTCTGGGTGTCTGCTGATTGGCCTGCTGCTTTTCCTCACTAACAGTAGTATAAAATCTGCCCGACCAAGGAAACCAGTCTGCCTCCGGTCTGCATGTGCCCATGTCTGCCAATAAATATAAGCAACCAATATAAACGGAACAGATCCAAACTTGTGTTACAAAAAGATAATGAGAAAGTGCATTCATATAAGCAATATTTAACATAATATGCCCTCGGTGATCATTTCATAAGCAAGTATACTGCTTCAAGAACCTATTTGTTGATACGATCATGACCCAAGAACATTTCCCCTGTATGCGACAATCCTAATTATTCCATAGTCATCTTATGCTGCAGGTTTTCACTACTACACACTTGTAATGTAATAAACAATACTTGGTCAATCCTTGGGTCATATAACACATTTCTAAAGTCTGCTTACCACCTCAGGTCGAACGGATACACCAGAAAGTAAATTAATCACCTGAGAACATAACTCTCTCAACCTCACCAACTATAAATCCTTCATCTACTTATTTTCTACCGTTTGAACATCAATTCCGCATTTATACTAACACGAAATAAAAATCTCAACTTAGATAAGAGAATTAAGACATCCCGAGCTCACATTTACCACTTCAACTACAATAAGACTGAAAATTCAAAATCAATCTGATTCGGAACACATTTCCACGAGTATCAAATCCCGATCAACCACTATAATTACACAAATATAATACACGTCCAATTATACATAAATCACAAGCATATAAGGACCTGTTTGGGGAGACCGGAGCCCTGGAAGAAAGCGACGGCTTCATTGCCACTAATCTGGCCATTGCGGTCCAAATCGGCTCGTCATAAATACGCATCGAAAAGATCCAAATTCGATGATTGGCCCTGCGCCGACGCCATCGCCACCGTCGGATTGCGATTCGCGGAAGATCAGACCATGGAATCAATCGAGAGCGCCACGCGCTCAGGCTGCCGTAAGCTTGAGGAGCGCCGGGAAGAATCACAAAACCACGAATTCTGAGGACCAAGATTTCGATGCCCTAGAAAACGACGACGTACAACCGGAATTTGGTTGCCTTTCTTCTCCGATTCGGAGGAAAATCAGAACACGACGGAGATGCTAATATTTTGAGGTAAAAAAGCGACCGTCGTTAATCGATTGTTTTGTTTAGAATTTTTGTGACAAAAATGGTACTGTATTTGTTGTGATATTTCAAAACTGCCACTGGTTCTAATGAGCCCGCCCCATTAGGCATTATTACAACAAATACAATTTAGAAATCAGAGTTGATTGGCAAGTTTATGTTTTCGATTTGTCAACTTGTACATAGTGGGGAAACAAAAGCGTGCACACAGAGAAAGGTACAAATTAATGCGAGATTGAGAAGGAAGTTACAATTTAGAAATCAAAGTGATTTGTTTGCCAGATATTTGATATACTATGTTGTGGCTGTAAACTGTAGCTGCACATCGTTCTGTAAATTCGGTTAAAGAGGAAACCTAATTCATAATCTAAACACCCCCATAGATTATATACTGTTATCATGACCAACAAGCAGCTCATGTCCACGACAGTGTTGTGTTGCGTTTTGTCGGTTTCACATCCTCTTCTTATTTAACGAGACGATCAATGATTTATTCTAAAATATGATTATGAACCTTTTAAATAACTCCATTAGTTGGTACAATTAAGGCATTTGGAGTGATCCCTTTTGAGCATCATTTTCGCTATTTAATTAGTCCCCAAACTTCTTGTATTGCATGATGTGCATGGAAAGGTCCATTCAATAAAAGATTAGGGATCTTTGAAGTAATCAAAATCAAAGAACCGGCCCTAGTAATTGATGTAATTGGTAAACATCGACAAATAATGTAATGCATTCTTAATTGGAGCTACAACCATGTCTAGTTTCTATTTTTTGTAATTGTATATTTTAGTTTGGCATATGTTTTACAACATAGATTTTAAATTTGAGCAATATTCTTGTGGTATGTGTGACGAAATGGATTTTTTTTTTCATGGAAAAGAGTTTCCAAGGAAGCCAATATAACTATGTCAATGGTGGGACATAGCATCTTTACAATGACTGGGGTAAAAGTCAACGTTAAAGGTTTTTCAAAGGAGATGTCAAAATGTAAATGTCAAATGTTAATTTGATAGCTGACGTGACAATGTTAATTTTTTTCTTTTTCCAACCGATATGTTTTTTTTTTGTTATAAATGATATTTGTATGACTCATTTTAAAAAGAAATCAATTAAAATAAATTTTCAAGATCTATAATTAGTGCATTAAATAGACCCACACAATATGTAACAACCCGTCCCTAATTATATGGCTTTATGAATTTTAAGACAGTGAATTGACGAAAATGCCTCTAGAGGCGAGATTGTTGACCTTTGTTGACCAGCGTATAGTGAGATGTATGAAACATTCTTTTAGCGTATCCTTGTAGTACTCGATGGTAGGAACTCGTGGACGCAAGCAGAACCGAATTCGAAGTCTTAGTTACGCTACCTTTTAGAAGAAACAAATTCGAAATTTGCATTTGTCTACCTATTGATATAATTAAGTGGTGTGACCCACGTTTAATTTTTATATGGGATTGGAAATTCAAATCGTGATTTCTCTTTGAATGTTGCAGACTTTCCTTATTTTTATAATCATCATATTGTTGCAGTCATATTTAGAATAGGAATGTAATTGTGTAAATCCTAGAGAATATGGGAAAGTATCTTATATTTCTATTAGGAGTTGATTACCTATTGAATATTGTAATCCTAAAGGGAAATGTTTTCACCTATCCTACTACCATAAATAAAGGCAAAATGGGGTGATACAAACACACCTCACAATTAAATCACTCTCTCTTCTCTCTAATTGTGGCTAGCCTCCTCTCTCCCTAATCCCCTGGATTAGTTCAATCAAATAGGCCTACAACACATTATCAGCACGCTCTTGCCAGAAGCTGAGGAATTTGACGGATCGTAGGAGGAGGCTATCTTCTACAAAATTTAAAGGCTTATATTTGTTTTCTGCTAATCAGGTACACTTAAAATAAAGTAAGATATTTGAAACATCCACGAAGTATGAAAACATTCCCCATGATGCATGAACCCCTCTATGTTTATATTTTCCTTACAATATATATATATATATATATATATATATATATATATATATATTGTATATGCTTATATATTTGTTTCATGCATTACGCAATTAAATTGCTATGTGAAATTTGTGAGTCAAAGTATAAAATCAATTAGAAGCAATTCTAGGATTTCTTAAACCCTAACAAAATCGAAAAGAAAAAGGAAACAAAGGGGAAATCGGGCCTTGTCTGCTAGACCCAGCCACGCCAAGCTTTGATTGCTAGGCTCTTGTCCCACGCGTACCCAGGCTTGAAGCCTGCTCACTTCAGTGCTAGCCCACATGATTGGGCTTGGTCCCCGCGGCCCAATATGACGCCAGCCACATGGTTGGGCTCCTATGCCTCAACCCACATGCTAGCTTTCGTTGGGCCTTGACCCGCACCCCCTTGAAGCCTAAACCAGCAACTTGGGCTGCTGTTTTTGTTTCCCACGCAGACCCGTGGCCTGCAACCCACTCCCGAGGCCTTTATTCACGGCACCCAGCCCAATTTTTTGGGCTATGGTTTTTCGACCTAAGGCTATTATTTAGCATTCTAAATAATTTTAACCCGCATGTTATTATTATTTTTGTTTATACAATCGACTATGTACGGCCCAATTTATTGAATTAATTAAAAGTGACCTACAATCCATTAATCTGATAATGAATCCAAATTATTAACTTGAAGATCACTTTTGGACATTAACGATTCAATAGTTTATTTTTATATTTTGAACCGTTGACATACTTTTGTAGTAATGAAGCTTTCACACTTGAGTTTCTGAAGAACCTCAAATCCACTACACTTAAATCAGTATATTGCATTCTATGTTTCTTGCAGGAACCTCTCATTATGAACTAATTGTTCATAAAAACTAATTTGAACCTGTAATTTCAAAATTAGTGCCTTTGAAACTTGAAGTTTTCATTCAAAACATACCACATGAAACCTGTAGTTTTCATGTATAAATTAAACCAATACATGTTTATAGAACCTGTATGTTCAACGATATATGCCTATGGCTTACTATATGACTAATCACGTTTTTTTACCCTCTGTTTAGGGACATGTTGAACTTGAACAAGCTCGATGTCACCGCTCTAGAAGTCTTCGGAAGAAACTATCTGAAGTGGGTTCAAGGCGTGCAGCTCCATCTCACTGCAAAGGGAATTAGAGCTACCATCGAGGAACCAAACGACGCTAAACCCGTCGATGAAACTTAGAAAGCTACTACAATGATCTTCGTTTGAAGAAACATCCATGATGCCCTGCAGACCGAGTGCCTCGCTGAGGAGGACCCACGCACCCTCTGGCTTGCTCTGGCCAACCGTTTCGATCACCAGAAAGACATATACTTGCCTGAACCAAGACACAACTAGCAGCATCCACGCTTCTAGGACTTTAAGTCTGTGAATGAATACAACTCTAAAGTTTGTAAAATCCATTCACTGCTGAAATTCTGTAAAGTGGAACTAACCGAATCAGATCTCCTAGAGAAGACCTATTCGACCTTCCACATCACCAATATTGTCTTGTAGCAATAATATAGGGCACATAAATTGCACTATATTCCAGACAACTAACTTCCCCAAGAAATAAATTGATTGAATTAGTCACATGCATAAATATAAAGTTAGTTGTCTAGAAGATAGTGCAACCACACACACAATATTGCGTGAACGACACTATTTTACTAACTTAATACCCAAGAAAGCTCATTTGACAACTTTCTCAGGCCCATCCAACCTGATTGAAGGATAAGGAAAGACATGTATCATGTTGTCTAATGGTACTATCTTAACCATTAAGGAGGCACTCTATTCTCTACGTTCTGGAAGAATGTTGCTAAGTTTTAGAGATATGGATGCAAGAACTCAGGTCTACAAAATGGAAGGTAAACCAAGATCCTGCACTGCATTAAAATTCTACATGGTGTGATGTCTCTGAAAATCAAATGGATTTGTGGATGTTGTTTGTGAACATGCATGCGTCTAACCGATGCGATTTTTCTTTTGTGTTTGTATGCCATCCATGTGATGAATGCCTAAGCAAAGCACTCGTATGAATCTGAGTACTGAGAATGGATATCGGCCTACCTCTGGGCTGCTTGGTCTACCCCCAAACTTGCATGTAATTAAACTTTAATAAAATGTGAGGGGGTTCAAAGCTGCATAGAGGCCTTCGCAGCAACCGTACTGTAAGCATTCCTGAATCTTTTTTTTTTTCTTCTCTTGTTTCAGCCCTGCCTAATCTCATGAATGTAGAGGAATGGATGATGAATGCACTGAGTTGAATGTATGAATGCTGTTGAATGCATGATTCAATCGAATGATCGATTCGAATTCAACCTGCAAAAGATCACAAATTTAAACCCGGATTAGAATAAAACCCAAAATAAAATACTGGAAAAAAAAAAATCTCTTTTTGTGCTTTTTCAATTTTTTTGGGTGATTTTTGTAATTGAAATAAAAGCAAGAAAATAAAATAAACAAAAATAAAAAGAAAAGAGTTAGAAAATCCCAATTAGCTCTTTAGTTAACGTCTTTAGCTAGGCATAGCGGAAAGTTGTTGATCATGTCACTTGTTCCTTTAAAGTCATCCGCTCTTTAATAGGGTCATAGGGCAACAGTAGGTACGGATGTGTATATTACAACAAATACATTGTGTAATGTAATAAACAATCCTAGGTCAATCCTTAGGTCATATAACACATTTCTAAAGTCTGCTTACCACCTAAGGTCGAAGACACACCAGAAAGTAAATTAATGACTTGATAACATAACTCTCTCAACCTCACTAACTATAGTATAAATCCTTCATCTACTTATTTTCTACCATTTGAACATCAATTCCGCATCACTTTAGTCTAAAATAGAGTTCTCAAATGCACTATTCGTGTTGCCCATGGAACGAGGTCTCAGATGTTGACTTTATTCACTCTTTTGCCATTATGCATTTCCGGCTTGGGGTCTCAAAAGTTCGGGTAACAAGTGTAGACTGGAAAGAAACATACAAAATGCTACACAGATAGTCACAGAAAAATCCAGCATTCCTTGATTATCTAGTACCCACGTAGCATTGAAATCAGATATTGGGAAGAGAACCCTGTTTAATGTGAACTTGGTGAGGTTGGCAGGTAGCATTAAACAATCAAAGAAGGTAGAAACCGCAGGCAATTAGCCATATTTGTGATTGCTTAACTACTCAAACCAACAAAAAACTCAACTTTAAAAGTGTGCCTCTGCATTTCTGCTACACCAAAAATCGAACTTCGAATTGGGTTTTTAACTCAAACAAAAAATGGGAAATTGATAATGCAATAAAAGAAAATAAAAAACATGAATTCAGACCATAAAATAGGATTGCAGTCAAGGTGTTCGACAAAAGGACTGAATGAAAAAATTGGATTGACGAGAACAAGAATATAGTACGAATAGGACCTCGCGGCGAGAGAGTTCCGCCTTCCAAGCAGCTTCGCGCTCGGCGACCTCGCGTTCCCGCTCTTCGATGTAGCTCTGCATCTCTCGCTCCTTCATGATTCTATCTTGGATATCGGCATCCAGAGCTTCCTTGAGCTCCTGGACGAACTTGTCCACCACCAGTTTGATTCTCAGAGACATCTCCTATTACCAAAGGCACGAGTCTAATTGCTGAACCCTAGCGCACTCACTGAGTTATCGACACGGTCTCTAGCTCGGTTTCAGGACTGAGGACGACGGTCCGGCTGGGCGGCGATTGCCGAAGGAGACAAACGAGGATTTGGAACTTCTTTCGCTTTGCTGTCACGTCTCTATTTTGGTTGCGAGTTATGTGAGCACTTGCCCATTCTCCTTCCCCTTCGCAACTTAAACGGTGTATTCTTCGAAAGACAAAAAATAAAACCTCTTGTTCACTTGTAGTATATGCACATTTTTTTTTTCATTTGTGCTAGAAAGGCCTAAACCTCAACAGAATACAAAGCCCTACACAACGAAGCAATACATAAAATAGAAGACATGCTCAAAAATGAGAGTTACAACCCAAGCCACAAAGGGAGACCCACACAAATTTAGGCCCATAGACAACAAAAGAAAAAATAACAATAAAACTCTAATCTCCAGCCACTAAAAACCAATCACCATCACCGCTACCTCCGCGAAGGAAGACATCTCACAATGCACCCGAACCAAAAACTAGATTTGAGAGTATTACGCATAATCAATCAACCAAGAACCAAAGCCTCCACAGGTACATGAGCAAGAAAAGTCACAAAAACGTAACAGAAGGAGGGGCAGGGCGAAGAGGGTGTGTAAAACACCCTTGTTCTAACGTGAATCATTTCACACTTCGCCCAATTTTTTCAGCAATCCAGATCAACAATGGACTGTGTGAATTGGGTCTTGTGTCAAAATAGAGCCCACTTCGAGATCTAATTCATGGTTATGAGTTGGAAAAGATGAGGAGTAGCAAGAGGGATGTAGGAGAGAAAGGTGCGATGTGGAAGGAGGAGAGGGTTGGCGGTGAGTGGCAATTGAGTGAGGAGAGGGTACAAAACTGAGACATAAGCTCTAATAGTTGAGACAAAATTCGGAGGAAAGCATAGATAAAGAAAAAGGGAGGAAGAGGATAAGGAAAAGTAGAAGGAAGCAGGAAAGATTTGAGGGCTGCCACCAACCCTAAAGCCCGACTGAGCAAGGTTTTCCCTTTGGGGGTTTTCTTTGAGAGAGGGAGGTAGTATATGTACATGTATGCTTCTTTTGGGACATATTCTTATTTGAGGACTTACTGTATAGTTCGAGAAATGATCGATAAATGTTGATTTGAAAAGAGATTTCTTTGTTTTTCACCGTTTATTTTCCTGATTGCTCAATAGGAAGAAGTCAAGATTGAATTATGTTATAGCATATTTACTTAGAGTAGGATAAACCAGAATATTCAGGTATTAATATGTGTTGCAATATGAATGTCGCATAACATGTATTTGTTGCTAAATGCAAGAAAATTCATAAATGAGAGTAAAATACTCATTAAGCAACACAATAAAAGTCATGAATTAGAGTAAAATACTCATTCCAATATTATCTAAGTAATTAAGTATGTCGTTAATTTCAAGTTTGTTTTAAAATGCTATTATGTGAAACGTTTTAGTTTAGTTAAGCTTTTATTATAAACATGTGGAATACCTATTCTAACCCTAGACACTTCTTGGAAGATTAGGCCATCTCCAACCGATGGCTGGCCAGAGGGCTCGTTTTAGCCCTCTGGCCCTCCAAGATTCTCCAAGATATTAATATTTTAATGAACAGTACATGGCCATATTTGCCTCCGTCTCCAACCGAGGGCCAGAGGGCCAGAGGGCTCGTTTTAGCCCTGTCACAAAAAACCGTCTCCAACCGAGGGTCAAAGGGCCATAGGACCAAACATAATTTATTATTTAAAAACTACAACTTAATTTTATTTAAAAATCATGTTGGTTAGTGTTGTATAATTTTTATGTTGGTTAATGTTATTTAATGTTGTTTCATATTGTTTAATGTTGTTTCATGTTACTTAATTTAATTTAATGTTGTATAATTGACACACCCCGTCCCGAAGGAGGGCATGCTGGCCGTCACGTGAGAGTGACGTAACCATTTGCATTGTACGGAAGCTTTAAGATACAATTTATAAGTTGATACACCCGAAGGTGAGTCCTAATTTGATAATATTCTGTCAGAACCCCGCTGAATTCCTCGTAGCCACCACACCTCAGCTATTCTTTAACCTGGAGGGGCGCAAAACCAAAATTGAGTGGGTCAGTAAAACAAATCAAATCCAACTTTTCTCAAAACATTGTAACCCCTCTCCGTAAAACTTGTATACTTTCCCAGAAATGTAAAATATAAATATACATATATAATCTCAAAACTTCAATTCACTTTTTCAACATTTTTCATATCAGTTATGCCATGCCATGTCTAAATTCAACAGTTAAGTATGAATGCATCAACAATAATCATATCAGGTGCAAGAAAGAAATAAACTGGAGGCCCTCTAATAGCCCTGTACGGTTGAACCTAGAGCTCAAAATCTATCACTCTCACTCTGCCGGAGTCACCTCTGTGACCTGTCCGGCCTTCTGCACATAAGTCGGAACCACCTAATGTAGTCTGTACGACTTAATGGTTAATATTACGCTCTAGTGCTTTTCTCATCAATCATCTGTGCACATAATCTAAGGTCACCCACCAGTCGAAATCTCACTAACACTCTACGACTGGCCCGTCGCACCCACTCCGCGTGGACTGTGCGACCAGCATCTACTTGGATCCAAGGCGAGCGTGCGATGCGGTGAATACTATAAGCACTAAACCATGGTGCATGATTTGAGCTCAATATACATCAACATCATCATAACAGTAATTAAATACTCACCTGATACTCACCTGTGCGTCCGCCGCACCATTCATTCATATGCATCATATAACAATTCATATCATTTGATTCATATCATTTCATGCATGGCAATTCAATTTACATTTCCATATATATTTCATATACTTCTATGCATGACCTTTCAATTCACGTTTTCATATAATTCTATATACCTTTCATTTAAAACATAATTTCATTTTAATTCAATTTCTGGGAAAACGTCAAGTATATATATATATATATACGGAAAACAAAACTACCCACTCACCTGGAGTTCGTCCAACAACTCCCTAGCACCACACATCAAGGCGTCATGACGATCGCCGCCTAGAACAGTAATCAAATCCAACCTCAGAATTCATATCGATAGAATATATAACTTATATAAAATACGTCACTACGTTGATCGATCCGGAAGATCTGCTACTCAGATTTTAAATCCATAACTTCCAGAGGTCCACAATATATCTCTAGGATAACATCATAAAATTTCATTACCATCCAACGGTCGGATCTCCGTCAATTTCCAAAACTAAGTGACGGTTAACATTTTATTTTATGAACTTACAATTCCAATTCCGGAAGATCCGTAACTCGGATTCCCAATCCGTAAGTTCCAATAATCCTTAAATATTACGTATTACAACGTATCAAAGTTTGGTAACGATCCAACGGTCGGATCATCAAATCACATTTTCACCTAATGCGAAAACTATAAAACGTTATTCAAACACCTAACCAACAATCCTTAATAACTTTCTCATACGGTGCTCAATTTGGGTATATGAATATACCACAGTGATCTACTCGACGTCACGGACGTTGACATATTTTTAGATTATTTTTTTGATGTGCCACGCGCCTCCACGCGCCAGAGCAAGCACGGGCACACGCGCGCCCACGCGCACCTTCTTCCTCGCGAGCTCGCCGGACTGGTTTTTCTCCGGTGGCCGGAAAACTGGGCATTTTTCAAATGCCTTGTTCTCCTTCGTTTCTCAACCATTTTCTTCGTATAATATATCAAATTGAAGCCCCAAACATGTAGAATCACAATACACTACTTTAAGGCTCTAAAAATCAAGAAATCTCACCGGAAAATTCCCAAGAAATTCGGCCAAAATGGAACCACGTGATCCCGACGTCCAAATCCTTCAAACGAAGTACTCCGAGCTTCCTTGGGACTTCCTTAAGCTCACTGTGAGCTTGGTTTCACCTAAAACAAGGTCAATTCGAAGATCATGAACAGTGCTCTTCACGGGAACTTTGAAACTAGGGTTTTCCGAAGCAAAACTTACCTGAAATGGATACCATCGTGATCGTGGAGGTTCCAGGAGTTTGATGGTGGTCTTAACTCCGTCGTTGGTGGAATTTTAAGGTTGTTTTGTGGTTGGTTTGTTCGAACGGAGAAGAAGAGTGACAGAGAGAGTGAGAGAGTCGTGAGGGAAGAGAGAGAGACAGCATGCAGAAAATAGGGAGAGGATTGAGGGGTGTGGGGATCCCACGTGGTCCTTTTCCAATTCCCAACTCCAAACCACAAAATTTTAACCTAAAAATCTAAGTTCCATCCTTATTAAATTCCATTTTATTTTCAAAACTTAGGAACCTAGATAATTATCAACTTGAGTTTCACATACTTAGTATTTCTTAAGGGCAATTTCGTCCATTCACAGCCACGAATGTAATATTTTGGAACGGGCTGTGACAATAATGGTTTAGGAAGTTATAGGAAAAAAATAGAATTTAAAAAAAATATGAAACAAATTTTGTGAAATAGAAGTTATAGGAAAAAAATGGAATTTAAAAAAAAATATGAAACAAATTTTGTAAAATAGAAGTTATATGAAAAAAATATGAACCAAATTTTGTAAAATATAAGTTATAGGAAAAAAATAGAATTAAAAAAATTGAAACAAATTTTGTAAAATAGAAGTTATAGGAAGTTATAGAAAAAAAAAGAAAAAAAAAGGTTTAAATTCATAAAAAAAAAAAAAAGGTTTACAACGGCTAGTGGCGCTAGCCGTTGGAAGTTTAAATTCAAATTGTTATTTCTGTCGGTTATAACCGACAGAAATAATATATATAACCGACAGAAATGAGAAATATTAAAAAAAAAAATAGCCAGCCCGGGGCTGGCTGGCTGGCCGAAAGCAGCCAGCCCTCCAGCCCTCCAGCCCTCTCCGATCCCGTGGGGCCCTCCCAGATTCCCGAGCCATCTGACCTAGCCTTCGGTTGGAGACGGTTTTAGGGCTATTTTCGGCCCTCTGGCCCTCTGGACCCTTCGGTTGGAGATGGCCTTAAGTTCACATAAAATGGTAGAGCCAGACAATATGAGATGGAATGCCACTAAGGTTATTTTTCTTTTCGATACAAGTGATTTATAATTTCAGATGCATAAATGAATATTCTTAATCGACTAAGTTATTAAATGCTCTTGCAAATTGCAGTGACGTTGTCTCTCTCACTTTGTGTCACAAAGCGATGTTAGCTCAAAGTGATGAAAGTGAGAAGGAAAATAGGTTAGGATTATAATAAGGGAACTTTAACAAAAAAAACTTATGGTATTATTCAGTTTTAACAAAAAATCATATTTTTATACTAAAAAAATCAATCATGGTACTATTCATTTTACCGTTTATTTTATTTAAAATTCAAAATTTTCAAATTTTTTTCATTCGTTTTCTTTAAACTAATGCAAATGCAGAGAGTAGGGTTCTCCCTTCGTGTTCCCTGTTCTCACTCTGTTCTCAGGAAGAGAGCCATCCCTATCTCCAAGTTGAAATGCAAAGCGCTGCAACCATTTTCACGTCCTTGCTCTCACGTGCCCAGCGTGTCGGAATCACCACCCTCCACTCTGGTTCAACAGTTCACCAAATTCTGCTACCAGAGAGACCTCCCGAGAGCCATGATTGCCATGGAAGCCATGCAAAGGTGCGAACTTTGGGCCGACTCCGTCGTCTACTCCGAGCTCGTCAAGTGCTGCTTGACTTGGCGGGCTGTTCAGCAGGGTAAGCTCGTCCACAAGCACGTTTTCTCAAATGGGTACCAGCCCAAGACCTTCTTAATCAACGTTTTCATCAACATGTACGTTAAATTTGCTCTCTTGGAGGAAGCGCAGGAACTGTTCGACGAAATGCCTGAGAGAAACGTTGTTTCCTGGACGACTATGATATCGGCATACTCGAATGTCAAATTCAACCGCAAGGCCTTGGAGTTTTTGGTTTTGATGCTTAGAGAAGGTGTTTCGCCTAACAGTTTCACGTATTCTTCGGTTTTGAGAGCTTGCAATGGGTTGCCAAATCTCAAGCAGCTTCATTGTTGTATTTTTAAAGTTGGGTTGGAATCTGACGTCTTTGTTCGGAGTGCTCTCATTGACGTTTACTCGAAATTGGGTGAGTTGCATAATGCGCTGGGCGTTTTCAATGAAATGGTGTCCGGAGA